TTAGTGTGATATTCAGAGAGGCAACTGCAGATTAGGAAGTGAAAGGGAGACTAAATATTTGAGTTTTTAGTCGTTTCTTAAAAGTAGCGAGTGACTCTGCTGTTCTGATGCAGTTAGGGAGTTCATTCCACCAACTGGGCAGATTGAGCGTGAGCGTTCGCGAAAGTGATTTCTTCCCTCTTTGGGATGGAACCACGAGGCGACGTTCATTCACAGAACGCAAGTTTCTGGAGGGCACATAGATCTGCAGAAGTGAGAGCAGATAAGAAGGAGCAAGGCCAGAAGTCACTTTGTAGGCAAACATCAGAGCTTTGAATTTTATGCGAGCAGCAACTGGCAGCCAGTGCAAATGGACTAGCAGCGGAGTGACACTTGACGCAGAAGTATAAACCAGGCTTTAGTCGGCTGTTGTGACGCAGTGTGCGCGCTCGCGATTTCAGGGGGTGTGGCTTTGAATCACAGTCCCTCCCCGCCGTTCAAAGATAATATGCTAAGCGGTTAGCATTTTGGCTGATCACCTACTGCACCTTTAAAGTGATATTTTTAAATTAGCAATGGCTTTTGGTGAGCAATAAATACAGTCAACTTTAGATATGAATTTGTGGCTTAAATTTCTCAAACAAAAGGGTTTGCATGGTTTCCATGGTTTTTATTTTTATTTTATTTACACACTTATGCCATCGAACTGTTGTATATAAAGCAATATCGCACTCAAATAATAGCTTGTATACAGTCATGTAAGACTTTACATTTACTTCAGGAAGGGCATCCAATATGCAAAACTTGTTTATTAGCAATATAACAACAACTGACTCTTTATCATTCATTCAGTCATTCATTTTCTTTTCGGCTTAGTCCCTTTATTAATCAGGGGTCGCCACAGTGGAATGAACTGCCAACTTATACAGCATAGCAGATACCTTTCCAGCTACAACCAACACTGAGAAACACCCATACACTCTTGCATTTACACACATACCTTACAGCCAATTTAGCTTATTAATTTTACTTGTCTTTGGACAAGGGAAAACCAGAACACCGGAAGGAAACCCATGTGGACACGGGGAGAACATGCAAACTCCACACACAAATGCCAACTGATCTAGCCAGGCTCGAACCAACAACCTTCTTGATGTAAGGCGACAGTGCTAACCATTGATCTACCGTGCCGCCCTAAAGCTACATGTGACACTCATAATCCATGATAAGTTTTATTTAAGATAAACTAATTTTTAGACTTGTCATATACTACAGGAACCACACGGTCTAGTTTATAGACTCACACTCTCACGAAGAAGGACAGTGTGCAGATGAACGCCCATCTGGAAATGTGTTTACTGCAGTCTAAACAATTGGAAATTACAACAAACACAGGTTGTAAACCAACACTCAGTTTCTTAGTTACTGACACTTCCTTTATTATTTCTCTAGAATATGATCAGTGGTCGCCTGTCACAGTAATTAACAGAACCAATTCTCCAATTTTACTAAATATAATTGAGCAAACAGAATCTCACTCTGCTTTTTACGCATCCTCTTACCTGCAGAACATAACTTTGGCTGTTGTTGAAACACAGACAACTCTGTTCTCCTTGGATAACCTGTTTTAGTCAGATTGTTTTGTACAACTGTGAGTGTTGCTAAAGTTGACTAAGCTAATTTGTGCAGTCAATTTCATTCCAGCTTAGTCTAATTGGTTTTATACTGGTATTATTATGTATCAATAGAGCTACAAAACATTACTTTATGCAGAGCTTGTCTGTACTGCATCATTAAAAAATAACATTATTACATATTTACATATTTAAAATACTTGTATAAATGCGTTTTATAGACATTACAATTTTATAGATTAATGTTATAACATTTTCAGATCCCTTAACCCAAATTGTAAATTGTAATTGTATTTAGTTACAAAATAAAGTTATTAATATAATTTGAGTCATCAAATATATGCAGAAATCTTAACCTAACTATTATAACTATTGTCATGAGGTTATTAGAACTGTGTAAAGAATTTTTCTTAACCTTAGCTAGTGATACAAATTGAATTTGGGATTAAAAATCCATAAAATGTCATTAAATTTTAATTTCATTTTCTTTTTGGCTTAGTCCCTTTATTTGGACGTACTCACACTATGTACAGTTGCCTTGAACCGGGCCAAAGCACGCTTGTCCACCCTCCCGTCCCCCCCCAACGGCCCGCACTCATCACATTAGATTTTGGCCTGGGCATGGTTTCATCATCGATGATGCGCTGTTCAGTAGAAAAGCGCACGGTTCGAATAGCACAGTGTGAGTGGGCCCTTAATCTGGGGTCACCACAGTGGAATGAACCGCCAACTTATACAGCACATGTTTTACGCAGTGGATGCCCTTCCAGCTGCAACCCTTCATTGGGAAACATCCATACACACTCATTCACACACATACTTTGCGGACAATTTAGCTAACCCAATTCACCTATACCACATGCCTTTGAACTTGTGGGGGAAACCAGAGCACCCGGAGGAAACCCAACACGGAGAGAACATGCAAACTCCACACAGAAATGCCAACTGACCCAGCCGAGGCTCGAACCAGTGAACTTCTTGCTGCGAGGCGATTGTATTACCCACTGCGCCACAGTGATGTCGTTGGTGAGAAATTGTAATGAAATATTCCGTCATTTCCACTAAAAAAAGTGATGTGAAAAATATTCATGACACAATTCTTTGAAGTTATCTTTTCTTGGTAATGTCAAATTGTCATAACAAAGAACAAGTTGAGATGTATATGTTTTTGTCAAGTTGTCGAAACAAAAAAAAACTTAAGCAATGACTTTCATAATATTTGTTTTTTGTAATATGGAAGTCAACGATTACAAGTTTTTAGCTTTCTTTAAAAAAGGTCGGCAAAGTGTGGACAGCAAAGTAAGAATTTCATTGTACAGGGAGACTTGTCTCATTACTGTGCACATGACAATAAACAAATTGAAATTGAAAATATTTTTTTTGTGTTGAACAGAAAAGAAACTCACAAAGTTTTGGTTTCACTTAATTAATGAAAGTAAAGTAATTAAGAAATTCATTGGTTTATTCAAAATGACTCGTATAGTCACTTGTTACCTACAGTATCAACACTGAAAATCATGTCACAGTCGCTGAAAAACACTACTGACAGTCTGTCTGAAACAAAATAAGTCCCAGTGTTGCATGAATAAAAACACTCAGAACTAATGATTGCATAAACCTGACTGTGCTGTCTTGAAAATATATTAACAAAAATATATTGTGTTTTTGTGTAGAGTCATATGACTGGTGGATATTCATTCATTCATTTTCTTGTCAGATTAGTCCCTTTATTAATCTGGGGTCACCACAGCGGAATGAACCGCCAACTTATCCAGCAAGTTTTTACGCAGCGGATGCCCTTCCAGCCACAACCCATCTCTGGGAAACATCCACACACACATTCACACACACACACACACACACACACTACGGACATTTTAGCCTACCCAATTCACCTGTACCGCATTTCTTTGGACTGTGGGGGAAACCAGAGCACCTGGATGAAACCCACGCAAACGCAGGGAGAACATGCAAACTCCACACAGAAGTGCCAACTGAGCCAAGGCTCGAACCAGCGACTCAGCGACCTTCTTGCTGTGAGGCGACAGCACTACCTACTGCGCCACTGCTTCGCCACTGGTGAATAGTTTTTTATTATTATTTTTATTTAGTGTTTGTGGGTATATGTATTTCACCATGTTTAAATGAGGTGAACCATGGTGTTTTACTAAACGTTGAAGACAGTATTCAAGCTATATATACAGCAAATAGTAATAAGTACCTGCACAGCTAGGGGGAAAAGATCTGCTTTTTCATTTAATCTTAAAAAAGAACAAGAGTAAGAAGCTGGCATATTTCTATATAAAAAAAAATTTTTTTAATTGACTGATGCTGTTGGTTTCTGTTTTAACTGCAGTATTTTTATACGTAATGTCGTTATTATAGTCCTATGATACTTTTTTGCCTTGCCTTTGATTGAGAATGCTTTAGACTACTTATTCTGTCTGGGGAGGTACTCAACCATAATCAGTTTGCCCAAGATGACCCATGACCCTGACTCAAATCTACCTCAAATTCTAACACTTCTTTACTCCTTAGTCAACCTACCAACCATCTCAACAGCCTTACTCTTTCTCTTACCAACAATCTACCATATTACCTAACTTTATAAAATATTAGTCTTACTCCTTAGTCAACCACAATTACTACACACTTATGTATGTTACTTAAGTTATTTTAAAAAATATATATATATTTTGCTTTGGATGTCACCTATAATTGTTTTACATACATAAAAAAATTATATATATATATATATATATATATATATATATATATATATATGTGTGTGTGTGTGTGTGTGTGTGTGTGTGTGTGTGTGTGTGTGTGTGTTTATGATATATAATTAGGCACTACACTATAGCTGTAATTCCACTACATCAACATTAACAAGTTAAGAAATAATCTTGTGGTAGAAATGCCATGAAAGTGAAAAATAAATCTGTACATACAGTAGTACTGCACTAGAATACATTGTCTTGACAATAAATGCTTCCTCTTGACATGCTGAAAATGTTAACCAATAAAAGTAATTAAGGGGAAAGTAATTCATAATGAAGATGCCAGTGAAAAGCTGCCGTTTTGTAAATGTGTTATTGATCTGTGTTTTCAAATTGACTGACAACAGCATTACACACCGCATGACAGAAAAAAATTAAAAAAGAGAACTTTAATGCAGTTCAGTAATCTTCAACAGTAGCACCTTGCATTGCCACTAAACAGAAACTGGATATACTTTAAATGAATTGCAGGTATAATCAGTAAAAGAAATAAATGTAAAACATGCTGTGTAGCAGATAGAAAATATAAATTCAATTATCAAAAACAATGTGTCTGTGTGTGTTTCAGCTTTGCAGGATCTGCAATTGACCCTTGACCTCTCCTTACCCTGCAGGTGCATACTGTGGAGTTGATTGAGGTCATAATTCTGCTGGCTTCTATCTCCCAGGCAAAACTCTCCACCTCGATCTGGTTTTGGTTCCTGTTCTTGTTAACTGCAATCTAAATTCAGATCTGTAGATACTCATCTGCAATCTTCTCAAAACAGCTTAAATTGTTTAGGACCGTTTCAAAACTTTCCCTGCAATTACCATTTACTCCTTTCACAATCAAAATACAGAGCGTGTGTCAGAGGCTCTCTGTGCGTCATTTGCGCATCGGCTACCTTCTGCAGGCTGCTCGTGATAGCTGTTCGTGTCCCAGGAGCGGCGGTGCCGTAGAAGGCAGACGGTTATGCGGCCAGCAGGGCGGATCGAGGGGTGGAGCTGCTCCCGGTGCATATAGTGCAATTCCATGTTAGTCTGGAGAGAGTGAGTGAGAGAGAGAGAGAGAGAAAGAGAGAGAGAGGTCCCGTGTCCGGGTGCCGCACTTCACCTCAAACAACTTTAATCCGAGTGTGAGAACTGAGGGATTTAAAGCACAGGAGTTCATTCACTGCATTGATTCATGCATGGGAGTTATTTGACTTGCAGGAAAAAAATAAAACATCGCAACTTATATATAAAAAATCGGGAATCACTTTAAAACATATTTCAGACATATTTAAAACATATGCCAGATAATATTAAATAGTTTATTTAAAGTTATCTCGACCGGGTTGTCTTTAGTCCAGTAAGCTTCAAGGGCGGGTTAGACGGTCTTCTGGTTGGACCAGTGTTGAATTGAGAATATGTGTGACTCCGTTACCGGCTGTTAGCGGTGTGCGGGGCTTATTTCCACACTAGAGGCGCCGCCTTTGCTCTGAACACATACACGCGCCATCAGGTGCCAGATACACACACTCTTCCGATTGAGTGTACGCGTAAAGACAAATCAGCGAAGATCACCCAGGACTTTTCCAGACATCGAGTTGGATTTATACCGCAGATTGGTCTATGTGACAACATGATGGATGCATGAGGGCGCGCGAGATCAATACACCCAATTAATCAATACCCTCTCCGCGCACGTGAAGATCAGCTCCGCTGGATGTTTATGACCGCATCTCTATCACCAGGTGGCTTTTCAAGAGCGTGTTTTCAAGCGCGTGTCTCCTGTTGGCGTAAATGTGCGCATAAGGTGTTTTGAGAGCCACAAAACAAAAGCGCAGAGCGACAATGCGCGTGCGGGATTAGTTTAAACTTTGGTTTGCTGCGGAATCGTCGGGATTTGGACTCTAAACTCGCGTCGCTGTACAGAAGAGACTACGTAGATCTCAGATGGGAGCGGATCTGGATTGAATTGCAGTTTATTTCCCTTAAAGAAGAAGGGGACATTCCAGCCGGAGGAGATTACAAGTGTTTCCTTTGCAAAGATTATTTGTTCTGACTCCTCTTCTTTTTGGATTTAAAAGTCCTGCGCCTGCTCTGGTGCAGTTGTCGCGCAGGAGGGATTCTGTGTGTTTTATCAGAACTTGAGGAAACAGCGGTGATGTTTGTGTTGAAATCAGTGGTGCTCTGTGCGTTGCTCTGCGGGGCTGGAGCCCAGTCGTGCCCGTCCCAGTGCTCCTGCAGCGGGACAGCGGTGGACTGCCACGGCCAGAGTCTGCGGAGCGTGCCGCGGAACATTCCCCGCAACGTTGAGCGACTGTGAGTGCGCCAAAAACACGATTATAATAATTGATAATTTTCTATTGTAGCAACAGAATATATTATTAATAATTTTGTCAACAAAATAGTGAAAACTGATTTTACACAAACAGTTACAGTTTTTAATATTATTGACAATTTTGATTAACGTGCAAATAGCACTTAGGCTATTCAATTGGCGCATAAGTACAATTAATTGAATTAATGATTTATTAACTGTTGTCATATTAACATATTTACAATAGCTTTAATTGACTTAAAAAAACATTTAATTCTGTGACATTTTTTCACACTCTCATCAGAACAAAACTAGTGTCCTTTCTTATTCCAAGCACGCATGTCTCTATCTGTCTCTAACACCGACTGTCTTTCTGAAGTGGATTCATTAATTAAACTGGCATGAAGTTTAAACACAACCTGCTCTGCTTTCAGACTGCAAGAGCCATAGGAGCTGGAGCTAGCAAAGACTTTTAAAACTGTTTGATGTTCTGCTGTTAGAATTCCAATGACTCCAGGTCCACTATGTATGTATATATATATATATATATATATATATATATATATATATATATATATATATATATATATATATATATATATATATATACAGTAATAAAAATATGCACTTTTGGCTGAAAGTAGCTTCCATAGAAGGATTTTAAATTATATGAGACACTAATGTAAGTTTTGTCAGGATTGCTGAAACCTGACCACAGAAACATGATCTAAGGACATACATAATGATTAAAAAAAAATATCACCGCCAGGATGGTACATGATGTAGACAATTGTTGAACATGTAAAATTAACTTTAGTGAAAGCCAGTGTAATGAAGTGTACAAAAAATCCATCGCCACATTACCCTCTTAATGGCTAAATGATATCACTTAATTAAGGCTATATACTTAAATCATTATTCACAGTTTTACTACCTCTCTTTTTTTTCTACAGGGACCTGAATGCAAACAATCTGACTAAAATCACTAAGGCAGATTTTGCGGGACTGAAGAACCTTCGAGTTCTGTAAGTATTGAATAGCATGGTTCTTTTGCTGTGTTAAAAATACAGAAAGTATTGTGCATCCAAAGTAAAATTAATCTTAGCCCACACACACATTCGAAGTATTGAACACATCTCAATTTTCTGAGAAAACATACTTCTAAAGGTGCTGTTGACTTGAAATTTTCACCAGATGCCAAAGTAATCCACACATATAAGACAATAAAATTAATTAGTTTAGAAATGAAATTATTTGTTATAAAATTAAAAGTTACAGGGAAAAGTTATTGAAGAAAGTGAGGTGTAAAAAGACATGGAAAGCCCAGACCAGAAGTCTCAACACCTTCATTACCAGGATGATAAAGATGAAACCAGGGTGGAAATTACAACAAGACAATGAACCTAAATGCAGCCGAGGGAACTCAGAGTGACTCAGTTGGTTTCAGAAAAGAAAATAAATCTGCTAGAATGGCCTGGCCAATAACATGAGTTGAATCCAATAAAAAATAAGAATTTAAGATTTTGCAGAAGAGACCCACAGACAGATGCCATGATTTTTAGACTCTGTTAAAGTCTAGTGGAAAAAATCACACCTGAGCAATGCATGTGAGTCCATTTTCTATATAAAAGGCATCTTTAAGCTGTCATTTAAAAAAAAGCCTTTTTCTTTTTTTTCTTTTTTTTTTTTTACAAAGTATTCAGTATTCTCTTTACTTTCTCCTTGTGTCATTCCATTGTTATTACACATCATTAATTTTCCAATTCTTTCAGTTTTTTTTTATTTGTGTTTGCATTGTTTGGGTTTTCACCAAAATCTGTGTCAATTTCATGTCAATAGCTCCTTTAGAAATATATTTACAAATATCACGACGGGTTCAATACACATTTTCACCCGCTATGTATTCTAATGCAGATTCATTCCCAAGTAAACACATCAATCTGCAGCTGCTCCATTATTAGAATAATATCTGTGAAGCATTGTTGTACCAAATTCCATGAGTTCTGGATTTCACTGGAGGTTAAACACTTGTAGTATTCGCACACATACGGCAGACAAGTTTGAACAGCAAAGCTTAACAAGGCAGTGAACGTGTGATTGTCAGAAAATCACAAAGACATTTATTTAGAAAAATGACTGCACTATTGGAATGTGAGTGTTTGTCTTTATCTGTTTTCTGATCTTCCTTTCTGTCTCTTTGTGAGGTTGTGACAGAGAGGGAGATTTTGTGAATGTAAATGTGACTGAGATGGAATGTCTGGGTGTGAATGTATGTGTTAGAGTGCGAGAGAGAGATATAGAAAACTCATGTAGGAACAGGTTTGCCCTCCCAATCGGATGGGGTAGTATTTCATCTGACGACTTTCTCTCTGTGTCCGTCTTTCCTCTCGCCCCAAACTATTTTTCTTCTTCGGGCTCTCGTTAAGTTTCTGTCGTTGGGACATCAGACTTCACTGTAATTACTTTTATTATAACAACTCATTAAAACCACCACCAATACTTGATTCACATTCAAAACCTAAAAGCAAAACAAATGACTCTAATTTGACACATCTTCAGTGTTTTGTGTTTTAAACACATTTTAGATTGTTTTACTACAGATTTATGACAGATGTACTTTGTTTTACCAGCAGCATACATTTCTGGAAGTCCTCTGCAGGTGTAAAGCATGTTTGCTTTCTCCATGTCTCACACACTTGTTCAGTCAAACAGAAAACTGTGACTGCCATTTCTCATGTAGGGTCAGTTTCCAGCTATGCTGGCTCTTACATCACAGAAGGGTTAAATAATGCATCAGTAAAACCTAGAATGATGCTATAAATATATGACTCCCATATTGCAAGTGTATACATTTCAAGCATACCCTGGGCATCTGTGATTTTGCAATGTGCTACTACTATAAAAATGCAAAGCGCAGTAACTATGACAAAGCCAGAGCTCAGAAAAATTGCAGTGTTGTGTGATTGAATGACTAAATCTGATTTCTGCTGTTGTTTCTCTCTAAATTTGAACCTAGCCTAATAAAATTATAATACACATGACTTCAAACCATTATTTTGACAAGACTTTGGTATTCGTAGACTGAAAAATAGTGCAGTTCCTGTTTGCTTGCTTTCCTAAATTACAGTCTAAGTATAGATGTAGTATTTAGACTGAGACTGAAAGCTCCTATTTAGTTTTATAATGAGAGGAGTCTCTCTGATTTAGAGATATATTTTAAAAAGGTGTTTGTGAAAACTATTTACAGGCATTGAAAAATAAATATAAAGGAGCCAAGTATGCACAGACATACTAACCGTTTCAATCATTGAATTACATGCAATGAGTGATTTATCGAAATTTTGGTCTCTCCTACATTTCCTTTTTAGGCAGTTAATGGAGAACAAGATCAGTTCAATTGAAAGAGGGGCATTTCAGGATCTACAAGAGCTGGAAAGACTGTAAGTGACTACACACGTGCACACACACACACACACACACGCACACACACACACACACACACACACACACACACACACACACACACACACACACACACACACACACAAACACACACATTTATATGTAGCAAAAAAGTCAGCACTGTACTGTACAATTAATTGAAAAAGCACATGACACAATCAACTGTGTGTTTTCATACATTAATGGTGGACATTGTATGTTGTCGCATGTGTGTGTGTGTGTGTTTGTGTGTGTGTGTGTGTGTGTGTGTGTGTGTGTGTGTGTGTGTGCACATTGTGGTAAGGATTTGATGGAGCAACATATTTGTCTGACAGCCAACCCAGCCTCAGGGAAACACACACACATGCACAAGTAACTCTGGCACACTCAGGCCTTTAAGAGAATGACACTGGAATCTGGAATGGAAACGGGAATTACGCTCTTACGGACAAGCTTTCACCCCCCAGCTATTCTCCATTTTCAAACCATATTCTTTTTGATGGCCTTTATGGTCACTGACTCAGACAAAAGTTTAGGTTTGTCAGTTTCGTAAAGTGGTGCATATGCCATATGCTACCTTAAATGCTTTATAAAGTTATAATTGAATATTATATGATATTAACCAGTATAGGTGAAATGAAAATACTGCAAATTTGGAATATAGTTAGAATTTTTCAAGTCATAATACAGAACCTTTCTATTTGCGAGTGTATTAAGACATGTAGTTAACAAGTTGCTACAGTTGTCAAATTTTAACAGCGCACAAGCTCAAATGCCTGTACATTGTAAAAAAGTGGTAAACTTCAAGGAGAAGTTTAACCTGAACAAGGTTATTCTACCTTATCTGACCCCACAAAAAAACAAAGCTGGTGAAAGGTAATGCATTTACAGTTGAAATCTCAATTATTAAACCCCCTTTAATTTTAATTTTTAAAAAAATATTTCCCAAAATATGTTTAACAGAGCAAGGAAATGTTCACAGTATGTCTGATAATATTTTTTTTCTTCTGGAGAAAGTTTTATTTGTTTTATTTCAGCTAGAATAACATCAGTTTTTAATAAAAAAAAAAAAAAAACATTTAAAGGTCAAAATTATTAGCACCTTTATGCTATATATTTTTTGATAGTCTACAGAACAAACCATTGTTATACAATAACTTGCCTAATTACCCTAACCTACATAGTTAACCTAATTAACCTAGTTAAGTTAAGCCTTTAAATGTAACTTTAAGCTGTATAGAAGTGTCTTGAAAAATATCTAGTAAAATATTATTTACTGTCATCATGGCAAAGATAAAAGAAATCAATTATTAGAAATGAAAAAAAAAAAGTTAACCATATCATACCATCGTAGCAAAAGCGTATTGACAAAATGAAAAAAAAAAGTACATTGTACATAACATTTTCAGCAAAGTGGGAGCATATTCTGCACTTACTTCTCTTACTTATAAAATTAGCAAACAAACAAACAAAAACATTTGATATTCATAAAGGAAAACAGGGAGAGTTAGCAATTAATAAGGGAACACAATTAATAAAGATTACTGTGCAGTTCATTCATTCTAAAAATTCAGTCCATGCATATTTTAAATATCATATTCCTACATTATTCTACTTTGAGAGGACCGAAGTTCACTACAGCCACAGTTACAGTAAAACATATTTTTGATGTAGGGATTAAGAGGTGTGCTGTGCTGCCTGATTACCAGTCAATCACTTGCTCAATGCTATCCTGTTTTTCTCTAAGTAAATTTACTAAGAGATAAATTAGTAAATTTAGTAAAACTTATTATGACTGAGACTTACCTTTGGCTTTTGCTAACTTGCCTTTGTGAGAAAAGCACATAATATACTCACGAGGATGCTAACTTTAGCTTTCGAAAAGCTTTTTGTAAGCTGTGTTTGGTGTGGCTTTAAATGCTAGCTAGTGAAAAGGGTCAATGGCATTAATTGTAAATGTGGTAACTTATAGCTCATAAAGAGGAGTACAGCTAACTGGTAATAGCTTGTAATAATAGCAAACTTGCTTTCAGCGTAAATTGTGCAGTGTTGGCATAACTGAAGGGTTAGGCGGGCGAGTGGTGGGGATGAATAGCTCTTTATAGTGATAAGTGTAGGGATAGAGGAGCTAGCGGTAGCGTTGAATAGCACAGCTAAAGTCAGTGTGTAAGATCAGTCCCACTGTGCCGGTACAAAAGCAGGAGTCTAATGCTAGAGGGTGACTGCATAGCTGAGAGGATTAGAACGCACAGGCATTATAATGCCCTACCAAAGGCCCTTCATAAATATGTGTGTATGTGTATTGGGGATGCACTTAGGTATTGGGTGTGACGACCTCCTGTGGGGAGGAAAAGTGGAGACTCTGTTCCAGATATGACCCCCCTTTCTCTGTACACACACACACACACACATACATGCAAACACCCTTCGTCACGGCTTGCTAGACATGAGCAATGCAGTCAGGTAAAGTAAGCCTATGGAGAACAACTTGAGCAAACGAACAGGAGCCTTGTTTACCTCATTGCTTTTTTTTTCTTTTATTTGCTTGATTATTTCCTCACACAGTTTCTTTTCTTCTTCTATGATGTAGCTTGTTTTTCATGCACTTATTTTGATTTGTTATGTTGTTCTGTTTTTTGTATTCTTAGCTTAGTAGTGTAGCTTGTGGCCCATTTACACTGACTGGCACAGTACGGGACGGTACAGGCCGGTATGGGTCACCTTTATAAAGCTTGCGTTTCCACTGCCTAAAGGGTATCAAGGGTACCCTTTTGGTGGGCGTGGTGTGCGACAGAAAGTTTCAGTCGCCGTCATTCTCTCTCGAGGAAATGTCAAAGCAAAGCTGTACGGGTCATTTACACATCATACGAAAAGCACTTCTCACAAAACAGATGCTTTATACACAAAAAATACTTCTCTAAGAACATAATTTGATTATAACTGCAGATCATTGCAAAATAGCTTGCTGTAACATCTGCGATAAATAAATGAAACATATATGAACACTTACAGTCTTGAATATGTTACCAATTACAGAAAAACTACACATAGCATATATTTGGGCTCAAAAACGACACGCAACATAGCCCGTAGTCAGTGCAAACCTCTTATCTGTACCTTTAATCTTCAGCAGCACATGTAACCTCTGTTAGAGAGTAATTCTGTCATGCCAAGTTCATAATAGTCCAAAAGGCGATGAAAATAGTTATACGTGGCAGTTTGTTCATGTTTTAGGTTGGTGAAAGAATCATTTGCACCTTCGTTTTTCGAGCTTCTCCTTTGTTTTTTCGTGCTTGATTATCGCTTTTGTCTATTTCTAAGACGATCGGATGTCAGAAGCACTTCAATCATCATGCGCATGCTATTATCATCAGCTCAAGAAGTTCATTATTTCAAATAGCCTATAGACGTGTGGCGAGCTCTCACTTTTAGACGGCCTCACAAAACAAAAACAGGACACGGTAGATTTTGTTGTTCTTGGCTTTGTGGCTGCACATCAAAACAACAAGGTTTGTCTGAGCTTGGGTCAACCATGGCTCGTTATTTTATGCATATAGTATTACAATGTACTGTCTCGGCTGTGTATTTAAAAAAATGGTGGTTCCCTTGTTTTCATTTTTCTGCTTGTGTATGCACGAGTGACGCTTGTCTGTAAACACATAGTGTTTAGCTGCACATCTAGCTCCACCTTTTGGTACCCTTTTGTCATGCTTAGTTACCCTTTGTAAAGGGTGCCAAAAAAGTGGTACTGTACGGTTTGATTTTAGGTCCCGTTTGACAGTGGAAACGGCCATAAAATTGTACCGAACCATACCGTACCACTCATTGGAAACGGGCCATTATAATATATTAAGAGCATAGACAGGGTTCCTGATTTAAAATTGCACAATCAAACATTTGCCTTAAACATTGTTAGTACTAGTATGAATTGCAGCTCATTCTAACCAAGAACTGCCCACACAGATAGGATCTTACCTTAAAGTGTTTCGTTTTGTGTGCCATTTAGCAGTAGGTTCATCTAACTTACTATATATATCTGTGTAACCAAATAAATAAGGATTTAAGTATTCCATATCTATACACGGTGGCTCAGTGGTTAGCACTGTCGCCTCACAGCAAGAAGGTTGCTGGTTCGAGTTCCAGCTGGGCCAGTTGACATTTCTGTGTGGAGTTTGCATGTTCTCCCCATGTTTGCATGGGTTTCCTCCTGGTGCTCTGGTTTCCCCCACTGTCCAAAGACATGTAGCATAGGTGAATGTAATAAACTAAATTTGCTGTAGTGTATGTGTGTGAATGAGTGTGTATGGGTGTTTCCCAGTACTGGGTTGCAGCTGAAAGGCCATCTGCTGTGTAAAACACATGCTGGATAAGTTGGCGGTTCATTCAACTGTTGTGACCTCTGATTAATAAAGGGACTAAGCCGAAGAAAAATGAATGAATCTTCCTTTAACAACAAACTCAAGATAAGTTTTAAAGAATTTAAACTTGGAAAACTTCTGCAAATCAGATGATTATTTTGTTGTTAAAAGCCCTTTGTTTCTGTTTGGCCTAATAAAGTCTGTGCATCTATAAGGAAATTCAGCCAATCAGATTAATGCTTGCCAAATGAAAAAAGTATGCAATATGCAATGGTTTTTCAGTGAACTGACTGTGGGCCTGAGTCTGCAGATTTACAAACTTCATAGTCATAAGCTTATCTCAAGTGTTAGACCTGATTGATTGTGGATCATGTATGCTTTACGTTACAGTAGCTGCATGTGTTCAGACTAACTTTCAATTCATTCTTCGCTCTGTTCAGTCTTGTTGCCGGTTTTTTGGCATTAAAAGTCATCTCACTTTATGGCCCTCTTTGGAAATGACTGAGTGCATGTCTCTGTTTGTGTGTGTGTCAGAGTCTGGCTATGTGCATTTCTATCTGTAAGTGTGTGTGTCTGTGTGTACTTGTCTATTTTAAGGGTCGATCTTATTCGCTTTAAGCACTGTGTGTGTATGTGTGTGTGTCTTTGTGTGTTTCTGCAGCAGGGTCCACAGGGAAGGCTGTCCTCTGTGCCTGAGTGAAACACGTGGGCATTTCTGGAGTGTGGAGCACTGTGTGCCTCGTTATTATTTCATCATTCATTAAATATTCAAATGGAATGATGTAACTCCAGAAGCTGAACGATGATGTCATCGGCTGCTATGTTTGACTGTGCGAGTATGTCAGAGAAAGTGAGGGTGTACAACAGCGAGAGAGAGAGCGAGTGAGAGCTTGATGGTTTCATACTTTGTGCAGACAGAGTTCACTTTGGAACTTTGGCTTGTGTGACTGACGTGCGGCAAATCTCGCATGCTGATGTCAGAGCTCAGGAATTGATCGAGTGTTTGTGTTATTTTAACGTTCTCCCATTATCAGCAGACTCAATAATGTCGCTGTAGAAGTTGTCAAATCTCGGATGCTTAATAGGCTGCTCTGAACAATCTGTATTCTGGTATTAAAAACATTATTGATTAATCTCAAGCCTCATTAATCTAACACACAGACAGCAGTGGCGCCACTCTTCATTAATATGCGCAGTGGGTATTATATATGTGCTGATTGTAATGCATAATGTCTATTATAGATGCTAGTCGGGAATTATTTTCAGCTACAATCGAGCATGAGAGAATCAAGGGATAGTGAGAAGTTAGTGGCTGTATTAAACCAAATATGCGTTTTGTCTTTCATGACAAGTATGCATATGTGTTTGTGTGTGTATGTGTATTTACACTGTAAGTTCTTTCGCTTCACTTTGTGCGAGACGTTCTGTTTGTTTTTCCCACATCTGTTTTTCCGGGCTGTTCTTTGTCTGCGTGTGTTTGCTAGATGCCCCCACACAGTGCCTGCCAGCCCCACACACACACACACACTTGCACACATTCAGTCAAGGCCCAAGTTGATGGCCGACAGGCGCAAATTAAAATATTTTATACATTTTTAAAAACACAAATTTACCAGTGCTTATTTCTTTACATATTTACCAATGTTTTATGTGGAATCTATTCATCTTGCCATATTCTTATTTTTAAATGTCATCAGGATAGATTATTTTAGCTGTTTCAGTTTTGCAAGTGGCAATACATTTTAGTTCAAAGTTTCTGTGAACAGGTAACGGTCTGATGCACATCATGTGCTGTTTCTGGTGCCTTACAGTCATTGAGTTCCACTCTTGTAAATATACGTACATACACTAAAAAAAAAACACTTTTTTTGTTCAAACTACTTATTTAAAATGAGCTGAAACAACACCATTCTTGACATTTCATTGGGACAACTTAATTTTTTATGTTCAGTCCACATAAATCTGTTAAAAGTGTCAGGTTAATTTAATCAATTTGTGTTGGGACAACATGATTGAATAGTATGGAACCCTGCATTTTTTACAGTTTACAATGTGTTTTGTGTCATTTCATGTCGCTGCGTGTGTCTGTGTTTGCAGGCGTCTCAACAGGAATAATCTTCAGGTTCTTCCGGAGTTGCTGTTTCTGGGCACGACCAAACTCTTCAGACTGTGAGTCCTTTATCTTTAGGCCCCTTCTATTTCCTCGCCCTGTTTTCTTTTCACACCCCTTTCTTTCCCGTTCTCTCTTCATTGCTGTCTTTTCTTGGTTCCTCTTTGTTTCCTTTTTTTTGTTTTGTCTCTTTTCTAAAGTGTATTTATCTATGTAGGTTTTACAGATACATTTTGTGAAATTTGTGTTGCGAACTGCATATTTAAATCCCGTTGGCTTCTCTAATGTTGTGGTTTGATTTGTAGATTTGGGGTTTATACACTTTTACATTACTGTTGCAGTATAAACACAGGACAATTTTGAGGGATGTCTTCTGAATCTTGCTCATAACTCCCAGACAGATCTGTGTGTGTGTGTGTGTGTGTGTATGTGTACATGTGTGTGGTTATAATTGAGTTATGCAGGACATCTAGGGATCAGCAGTGAGGGAGGTTCAGACCATGAACAGAGTAAATTGAGTTAAAAGGAGATACACGCTTAAACATCTGCTGCTCAGAGAGAGAGCGAGAGGAAGGGTAGCGAGCGCTAACAGCTTTACCAGGAAAAACAACATTCTAACAGACTTTGCAGGAGGTTGATGGAGGAAATGTCTGTGTGTGTGTGTGTGTGTCTGTGTGTGTGTGTGCTGCACACATCGCTCATGTTTCTGCCGTCATATTTTCACTGTTCATGTTCTAGACATGGTATGGTTGTGTGTGTGGTCTCCTAAAAATACACTGGGATCTACAGGCTCAACTATCAGGTGTGCATAGTTGCTTGTGAGACTTAAAGTAAATTGCTGGACTTAAAGTCAGATCCTAAAGAAATAGATTGATGTGTTTTCCAAGACGCAGTTCATTGGTTTATGTTTTAATGTGTGTGTAGGGCTCAAGTTTTACCCATGTTTTGGGGACACTGGTTTGTGTGAGGGATAGGAAATATCAATGGAAATTATGTGAGCAAGCAGGCACATATTAGTTTTTCATGATTCTTAGGAAGGGCATCACGGTGGTGCAGTGGGTAGCACAATCACCTCACAGCAAGAAGGTCACTGTTTTGAGCTTTAGCTGGGTCAGTTGGTATTTCTGTGTGACATTTGCATGTTCTTCATGTCTTTGCTTGGGTTTTCTACAGGTGCTCCGATTTCCCCCACAAGTGCAAAAATATGTGGTAAGGGTGACCTGGATAAGCTAGATTGTCTGTAGTGTATGTGTGTGAATGAGTGTGTATGGATGTTTCCCAGTGATGGGTTGCAGCTGGAAGGGTATCCGCTGCATAAAAAATATGCTGGATAAGTTGGCGGTTCATTCTGCTGTGGTGACCCTAGATTAATAAAGGGACTGAGCCAAAAAGAAAATGAAGGAATGAATGATTCTTAGGAAGGATTTGTTTTGTTCTGTCTGTCAACTCAGTTTCAACTCAAGATGGTAGCAGGTGTGTGAGAAAAAAAGAAAATGAGAGGAAAAGAGGAAGGCCTCCTGGTGCATAGTACTTTCTGATAGTATTATCTGATTTGACACACACACACAAACACACTCACACACACACACACACACACACACACACACACACACACACACACACACACACACACACACACACACACACACACACACACACACACACACACACACACACACACACAGTGTTCAGTCCTCATTAGATTATCTCTGCGCGTCTACATCTGTGGCTAACATGCGCAGCTTTTATCTGCCTGCCTCTTTCATCACTCTGTCTATCTCATTTTGCTTTATTTTGCTCCTTTTCCTGTTCTCTCAAGCCTTTCTTTCTTTCTTTCTTTCTTTCTTTCTTTCTTTCTTTCTTTCTTTCTTTCTTTCTTTCTTTCTCTCTTTCTTTCTTTCTTTCTTTCATGTATCCTCTTCCTCTGCTCCCCTGATCAGGTTTGACGTTAATGTGTCTGGATGGAGTGTGTGTGTGTGTGTGTGTTTTTGGAGGGGGATGGTCTGGTAGCGGGTGACAGAACCTTCTAGAGCTTGTTTTGTTCATCTTGCCGGGTGCCCTGGTGACCCCGGCTTCTGCTGTATGTGTGTGTGTGAGAGAGAGTATATGTTTGTGTGTGTGTCTGTGTGAATATGAGTTATGGTTACACACATACGGCCGCTGCCACAGTAGCGGCTGAAGTATTTCTGCCTTTTGTCTCCTCTGAGGCCGGGCCTGTTTGAAAACCTTTGAATAACATTGGTTATGTTGGAGAGAACGTTCAGATAACATTTCTCACGGACAGCAGGTCGGTCACAGCTGTGTATGTTTGGATAGAGAGAAAGTGGGAAAGAGAGAAGAAAGGGACTTGAAAGAGAGAGGTAGAAAAGGAAAAGAGGAGACATGAAGGCAGAGAAAGAGGGAGAGAGAGGGGGAGATTATTGGTCAGAGTTTTGAGAGTCCATTAAGAACTCTGTAAAACCCAACAGTAGTTTCAAAATAAGACTGACTCACCAATAAAAAACTTACAAACTGAAAAAAAACAGAATAAGGAAGAGACTTTAGATTAAAAGATATATTAAAATATTTAATGCACCACAGGTGAACAGCATTAAAAGTGTAACTAATAGATATCACTATGCTTCACAGTACAATTATTTTGTATTAAACTTTTCTAAAATGTTGTGTTAAATAATGAAACGTTAAAATGGCAACATGTAAATATGTTTACAATACTTTTATGAAGTTATTACAATAACTTTTACATAACAAGCCAGATATAGAATACACTCTAAAGCCTTCAAAATATAAAGAGAAATAAAATGGAAAAGTCTAAAGTAAATTATGTGTTAAGTTGCTCAATTAATAAAGAAATGTGAAAAACATTTACATGTACTTTAATTAAACCTTATAATTAATATCTGTAAATACATGTAGAGAAATTGTGATAAGATGAACACTTTTTAATAAACACAAGTTTTTTTTCAGAGTTCTGAAATAATACATGGCACAGAAGCTAAATGAACCAGTGTAATAATAATAATAATAATAATAATAATAATAATATAATGATAATGATAATGATAATGATAATGATAATGATAATGATAATAATAATAATAATAATACAGATAATAATAATAATAATAATAATAATAATAATAATAATAATAATAATAATAATAATAATAATTACAATAAATATATTTAAAATTTACTGTGATTTTGCTTATGGTGTCACATCTTAATATAATTTTTTTATTTGCTGATTTGGATAAGGCAGCCGTTACTATTCTTCTGAATTGAGCTTGTGCGAACTTATTCATTGGCGCGAATGCCCATAGTTGCTATGGTTACTGTTGTCATGTCACGTAGCCATCATCCCTCATCTAGTAACCATTAGTGCTGTTTGTTGGTGTTTCTGACCACCGAAGGAATTTCTCCCGTTGTGACGTCTGTGTGTGTCTTGCATTGATCCTGTAACTGGCTATTAAGTCTAACTAAATGATTTACAATTGTAATTGTAAGTTGTTTATGCATCTATTTTAAATAATAAGGACAAACTTTGATCAATAATTTTATGTCTGTAAATAAAGACAGATATAATGGTGAAATTAATGTTTTGAGAAATTAGATCTGATGAACATTCTGTCATAGTTTGACCTCATGCAAATCCAGACATTTTATGATCTTCTTTTACAATCTTAAACTAGAAAAAGTTGTGACAGCATTTAAAACCATATAAAAAAGACAGAGTAATGATTTCTAAATTTACTTTGACTTGTAGTTTATTGCAGACAGGCCAGTCAAGTACCTCTATCCTCTTCCTCCGCCGTCAGGACTTTGTAATGTGTGCAGTATGTGGTTTTGCATTGTCTTGTTGAAATATGCATGGGCGTCCCTGGAAAAAAAGGCAGCATATTGTGCTCTAAAATCTCTTTGTACTTTTCAGCATTAATGGTGCCATTACAGAAATGCAAGTTACCTTTGCCAAAGGCACCTGACCATGACAGACCATGGTTTTTGGACTTGTTTCTGGTAACAGCCTGGATGATCTTTTTCATCTTTGGTCTGGAGCGTTTATTTCTCTCAAAAAGTACCTGCAATACTCTTTTATCTGACCACAGTACAGGTTTCCACTGTGTGATTATCCATTGCAGATAACTTTGAATACAGAAAAGTTAAACTGAAGTGGGCACTGTTTACATAGGGCTTCCTTTAGGCACAGTACAGTTTTCACTGACATTATGGGATGTAACTATGTTTTGTGGCACTTGACAAAGGTTTGCCAAAGTAGTCCTGAGCTCATGTGGTAATATTGCTTATAGATGCATGATGATTCTTGATGCAGTGCCACCTGAGGGATTGGTTGTTCAGCTTAGGCTTAGATCCTTGCCCTATAGGTACTAAAACTCCTCCAGATTCCTTGAATCTTTTAATTATGTTATGCAGTGTTGAAGGTGAAATATCAAAGTATTATACTATCTTTCTTTGAGGAACATTGGTTTTAAACATTTCAATGATTTTTTTTCATGTATTTGTTGACAAACTGGCGATCCTCAACCCATCATTGCTCCTGTTTCATATCACATCATTGATTGATTGATTGATTCATTCATTCATTGATTCATTCATTCATTCATTCATTCAATTTCCCTTCTGCTTAGTCCCCCATTCATCAGGGGTCGCCACAGCGGAATTAACTTCCAACTTATTCAGCATATGTTTTACACAGTGGATGCCCTTCCAGCTGCAACCCAGTAGTGGTAAGCATCCATAAACACTCATTCACACACAAACTCTACAAACAATTTAGTTTATTCAATTTACTTATAGAGCATGTATTTGGATTGTGGAGGAAACTGGAGCACCCGGAGATAATCCACGCCAACACAGGGAGAACATGCAAACTCCACACAGAAATGCCTACTGGCTCAAAACAGCCAGCTTCTTGCTGTGATGCGACAGTGCTAACCACTGAGCCATCATGTTGCCCATCACATCATTATTTAACCAATTTACCTGATTATTATTGCTAAATTGCTCCTGTTTCAACTTTTTTTGAATGTGAGGAACCAAA